GCTACTGCTGCTGCTGCTGCTACTGCTGCTACTGTGGCTGTTTCTGATGCTGCTGCTGCTGCTGTTTTTTGCAGACAGCTCCCTAATTCCGCTTGATTTGCTGAGCAGCCCTTAAGAGTTCGGTAGAAAATTGCGCAGACAAAATTCGTGTTGCCAATATTTTCCCTCGCAGAGAACAATCGTGTTTGCATTAACATCGCTTAAACAGCCTCGGCGATTCTTTCTCAAAAACTGCAGGGAAGGGCTGCGGCTGCCGGCTGGGAAGGACGGAGCGTGTTTCCTGATTATACTAGGGAGATAAAATCGGCGCGACGTAGAAACTGGCGCGTAATAGGATAATACGACCCTGTAAAAGCACATGCACGTAAATATCTCACCGTTAAACGTTGAATACCTGTTACAGCCATTGTTCATTTACGAGTGCGTGCGTGCGTGCAAGCGTGCGTGCGTACGTACGTGCATGCGTGCGTACCTGCCTGCCTACGTGCTTGCGTGCCTGCCTGCGTGCGTGCGTGGTGTGTCCGCGTGCCTGCGTGCGTGCGTGCGTGGTGTACGCGCGTGCGTGCCTGCGTTCGTGCCTACGTGTGTCCTTACATGCGTGGTGTGCGTGCGTGCGTGCGTGCGTGCGTGCGTGCGTGCGTGCGTGCTGTGCATGAGTGCGGGCGTGCGAGCGTGTGCCAGCATATGTGCGTGTATATATAAACACGTACGTGCGCGTGCGTGTGCGTGCACCTGAGTGTGTGTGGGTATGTGCGTGCGCGCGCGCGTGTGTGTGTCTATCTCTCTATCTGATTATCTGTCTGTGTGTGAGCGCGCACGTCTGTCCGTCTGTCTGTGTTTATTTCCTTCATGATAGATTCAGCCGCGCGGTCGATCAGACACTAGACGCCCGCTGGGAGTCTAACAGCCAACTTACTGATTATCTGACAGCAATGTGTAAAGAAGCCTGCTTAGAAATCGAGACAAGACATCAATGGGCACGCAGAAAATCCGTCGCGTTAGCCGCGCGTGCGGAACGAGTAAACGCGACGCATCGCAATCTCGTCCGTTCTTCGCAACATTCTTCGGCCGTAGATGAAGCCATTAGCGAGAAAGCAGAGAGGTGACATGTGGCCCAGGACACACGGACGAGGCGAGGGCGACGGTGATGTGAGTTAGTCGGCGTAAGAGAAAAATCCTGATCACACGATAAACAAAAAAGCAATCGTCATTTCTTCATCTCTCGAAGGGAATTTTGTGTGGAATACCTCCCCCTCGCTCCTTCCCCCTTCTACCTCCCCCTCTCTCTCTTTCGCCCCCTCTCTCTCTCTCTCTCTCTCTCCGGTCTCAACTCTCCTTCCTCATCATCTGTCTGCTGTCTCCTTTTTCTTAAGATCGCGGGCTCTCTTCTTTATCACACAACGACACCCTAACCTCTCCTCTCTCATCCGCTCTCTCGCCTCTCGTCGCTTTTTTTCTCTCATTTCTCATACGTCAGCAATATACGGATAACTTGATCGAGAAAACGACTCACGTTCGTTCTTGACATATATATGATCGATCATTGGGGGCGAACTGTCAACCCCACACAATCTCCAGCCATACCCCAATTTCGTTTGAGGAACCATACGAATCGCAACAGATATAAAGGAGCATGCGACATAAAACTAATATATACATCTGCAAATCTGTGCAATGATAACAACGCGCGGTATGGAGTAAGTTATACATACGTACCTTCACTACGCTCCTATATATATATATAAAATAAAACACGTCAAGTTTCGTGAACTTTTGTACATTTGTTAGAGAACCGAACACTTCTTTCTCACATACCATAACGAAGCTCAATAGATTACGCAACCGCCTACTAGAGGCCCTGAAAAATGATAAGTTTACGGATATCATGGTCGCGTGCCGAACACACGCACGAAAAAAAATACCGTAGCAAGAGCAAATGGACCGCGCGGGCAAGCACCGCTGTCCGGCCTCCCTCAGCGTTGCGCAGCTGAGTAACGCGACAACTCCGCGAGCCCTCTATCGTCTGCTAAATACTAGCGACAGCACGGTGCGAAAACTAAATCGAATTAACAGAAAGGCACGCGCGCCTCCGAGAACCAAGCGAATATCCAGGCCCGCGCGAATATACACAATCGCCTCTCCGCACAAACCTCCAAACGCCGATTCTCCAATTTCGAAACCGAGGCGAAGAAGCCTCGTTGTGCGCTTACGGCGTCCGTCTCTTGTCCGCGCACGACGTCCTCCGGCAAGCAGCCGCACGCCTTAAGCTTGCAAAAGTAAACCCCGATTCGTCTGCTCGTGTAGAGAGTCGTGCCGAAGGCGGGAGTCGTCCTGCTACGGGAGTCCTCAAAAGCTAGCCGCTGGCTGCTGGCTTTGGCGTGCTTGCCCGCTGCAGCTCTTCCCCACGGCCTCGCCAGGCATTAGAACCAATCGCAACTCTGACCTCGAGACAGAGGAGAACACAAGGAGAGAGGAAGAAGTGCGCGGCGATTGTCACACGTTTATCAACCAACATACTGCCTCAACATCTTTTCGCAGTTATACACGCTCACAATTAAATATGGCCGAGCGCGTATAGCACCCGACTCGTTCAATAATAATGAGCAGAGGGCAGCATAATCCGGCGCGACCTGACCCAACGGGGAAAACACTATATATATAATAACAACCACCTCGCAACTTGCAGCCCCAACGTCCCTATACTAGCGCATCAGCATCTTGACTGTAAATAGCAAACATAAAATCATAACCATTATATCACTCCTGATAATATATCATAACTATTTATATGCGTGTTATGTGTGCGTGTGCGGTGTCGCGTATGTTGTTGTGGGTTAGTGTGTGGAATGGTTGATGGTGGGTGCTGTGTGGTGTTGTGGTGTAAGGTTCTTTTAAGCGGTTGTGCATCGCAACAACCGCGCTCACGACTGACATAATATACTAACACCGGGAAGATATACCAATAGGGCGCAACACGCAGTAAGTAAAGTGTAACGACGTGTGTAACGATAGGTAACAGCTGTGCGTGTTAATGTAGAGTGTATGGTATCACCGTGGTGCAACTGTCATACATGATAAGTAAGCCCGTGGCTACCTGATAATGTACGGTATTAGCCGCGGCGTACCTGTGGAGGATAGGAACCGGGTGCGTACCGTATAATGTAAGTATAGCCTTGCTACCTTATAATATAGGATTAGCCGTTCGTACCTGTAATAAATGGTATAGATTACCGTGCTTAACTCTGGAAATAAAGGTATTAGCCGTGTGCGTACCTGTAAATTAAGGTATAGCCGTGTCTACCTGTATAATGAAGAGTATTACCGGCGACCTGAAATGTAATACGTATTAAGCCGTGTGCGTACCTTAAAATGTAAGGTATAGCGGGTGCGTACACTGTAAAAGTATAGTATATGCCTTGCGTACACTGTTGAGGTATACGGTATACCGGCTGCGATACCCTGAAATGTAAGGATAGCCGTGTCGTACCTGTATATAAGGTATAGCCGTGCGTACCTTAAAGTAAAGGATACCGTTGCGACCTGGTAGTATAGGATTACCGTAGTGCGTACCTGATAATGATCAGATCGAGCCCGTGGCGTACCTGTGGTGAGTATAGTATTTACTGGGCGACTGTAACATGTAATAGGTATAGCGGTGCATACCTGAAAATGAAGGTATTACGTTGGCGACTTATAAATAGTATAGCCGTGCACTTATACAATTAATAGGTATAGCCGTCGTGCCGACCTGTAAAATATCGGATTAGACGTTGCGTACCTTATAGATGTATAGTATTATCCGGCGACCTGTATAATATACTATTATTAGCGACTCTACCTGTGAGTATACGTTTAGCCTGTCTACCTGTATAAAATAGTATAGCGGTGCGACCTGAAATAAAGTATAGCCGGTGCGTACCTGCTGGAGGTAGATTATCCTGTGCCTCCTGTATAAGTAATAGTAAGAGCGGTTCGTACCTGAAAATATATTGTATACCGTTGGACCTGTTTGAGGTAAGGTATAGCTTCGTACCTAATAATTAAGTAAAGCGGTGTCGTACCTGTCTAATGAAGTATAGCCCTGCGACCTGTAATTAAAAATTAGCCGGTGCGACCTGTATAAATAATAGGGTATTCGCCTGTCGACCTGTATAAAATAGGATTAAGCTCGGCGTACCTCGTGAGTAATAGATAGCCGGTGCATACCATGTATAATGTATACGATTAGCCGGTGCGTTCCTGTATATGTAAGTAAACCGAGGGTACATACCTGTATAATAAAGATTAGCGCGTGTCAACCGTATAATATCAACGTATAGCCGCTTGCGACCTTGGAGGTATAGGTAATAGCTTGCATAATTGTAGGTAATACGACTCCCCGGGCACCTGTCTGTAAAGAAGGCGTGCATACTTGTGTAACGTATAGATAATAGCTGTGTTCCTGTATAACGTAGAGGTAATTGCTGTGTACCTGTGTAACGTATAGATAATAGCTGTGTTCCTGTATAACGTAGAGGTAATTGCTGTATACCTGTGTAATGTCTATAGATAATAGCTGTGTTCCTGTATAACGTAGAGGTAATTGCTGTGCACCTGTGTAAATGTATATAGGTAATAGCTGTCTGTGTACCTGCTGATCTTGCCGTCGTGGTTGATGTCGGCCTGCATGATCACATCTTTGAACTGCGCCAAGTCGCCGGTGTCGTAATCTTCCTTCGCCATTTCGAGCAAATCCTTCAGGAAGCCGTGTATCTCCTCCTCTTCAATGACGCCGTTGTTATCCTGCATCGGGAAACCCCATTAATAGGTAATATGTATTTCCCGACTCAAGGAAGCATCATGCCCACCTTGATCGACGTAGTAGTAGTAGCAGCAGTAGTAGTAGTAGTAGTAGTAGTAGTAGTAGTAGTAGAAACCCGTTGGGAGTCACGCACACGTCACACCCGCATCATGTACCGTGGATAGAACACTGCCACGCTATCCACGGCGCGTGGTTTTTTTCAGTCCTACGCATTTCTGCATCTACTCTTTTATATAAGGAATAATATCAAAATGTTAATCAGCTTGATATTATTGACTCCTAATAGTATCTATATTTCTGCATCTATATTTATGTATTTATAGTGTATATTGTATCAGTGGGGTAGCTAATCTTATACGACACACAATTTCGCGGATAGGAAAATTTAGCAGGAAAGTGAAAGAGAGGGATGGTGAGAGGGCGACAGGCGTCAAATAAAACAAATAATCATATAATTAGATATCAATAATCAAGTAATCAGCTCAAATCAATGAGAAGGTCACTGGAGTAACAGACGAACACTAACAGCCCGGAGGTGTGCGTGCTTAAGCGTGGGAACGCCACCGAACGCTATCAGATTCATGTGGCATCGTCGCCGTGTGGTGACGCATGCACGGGTCGAAGGCCAGCCAAGATGCTTGTTTATTTATCGGCGGCTTGGCTTAGACATCAAATTTTTCGCTACGATGTCGGTTTATTTTCTGTGCCCCGAAGCTCGGCGATAGAGCACACGCTCGCGCATGCGCACCAACGACTCGATCGATGGACGAGCGCCGACAAATGGCGGCCATGTCTGCAGCTTGTATAAGCTGAGTTAGAGAAAATTCATTGTGCGCGCGACTGCTCTACGAACAATTGCGATGCAAAACTGCGGTTGGGATTAAACATGGAGGGTGGAGCTCTCATTAAAAAAAGAATGACGCGCACGAAGATCGAGTATGAAGTCGAATCCCTCGTGTCTTATTAGGAGAGGAAACTTTAATTTAGCATTCAGTAGGGGGCGTTTTAAGCTCGGTTCGCGAAAGAAAACTACAGCGGTCCGCTCTCTTCTCATGCCCTGCCATTTAGGGAATACTTTCTATAGTGCGCGTCTATCTCTTTCAGAAAGACACTGGTTTCCTGAATGCCGACTGTGTTTTATTCCAATAAACTTAAACAACTGATATTTGTTTCTGGCGTTTATACGTTAACGGATAATACATGTATATATATATATATATATATATATATATATATGATGGAAAGTGATTACACTTTGAAAGCGATCGTGCGGGGTATAGTTTCACTCGCAATGACAGCAAACGAGGGTCTAAATAAGCGCTGACACGAATACTTTCTTTTTGCTAAACAACCGGAAAGTGGCGCGGATTAATCTACGCTAACCAGCCTGCACGACCATGCGCTTTGTTTCATCGAGTTTTGCCATCAAGCGCGAGAATGGCTCGCGTTTATCTATCATCGCATCTTGCCTTAGCTCTCGCTGAGCCAACCACCATCCACACAACACGAGCAAGCGCCGATTCACTCGATTCACTCTCTCACCTGCCGACGATATTTGTGCGAAATGAACTGTCGGTACGAGCGAGATCTCGCGATATCGCAGGCTGAATCGCCAACGCTTTATTCGTCGTGGGGCGAGAGGCTGCGTGTGCCTGTGCGCGTAAAAGGAGATACGTGCCCCCCACCCCCAGTGTCAGGATGTGAGATTTCCGATCTAGACTGGTACTCGCTCCCACCTCGATTACTCGATGGGGACCGGTAAGGCATAATCTAGTGGACAGAATTCTGTCCAGTAGAGAATGCGCGCGCAACCGGATTACGCGTTAGCGCCTCGATTTGGAATACGGATATGAGTTTAAAAGATGGCGGCGGCTAGCAAGTAAAAACTGCTGTCTTTTACCATCAATGATCAAATATGGTTAATGGCGGATAGTACACCATGGAAAATTCGGGAAGATAGTCATATCTGTAAGTGATATCACTGCCTTACTTTCGCACGAAAATATCAAATCGAACTTGAACACATCCTCCATTTTGCTTGCCATGCCGGATTAGCCGTGCAAACGGACCACTGATTGGTCGTATCGGCTGATTTCCTATCGAGTCTGTTGACCAATCGTTGCCATGCTTTATTTATCGCTTACCGGTTCCTAAGCCGATAGGTGGGACCGGGTACCAGTCTATTTCCGATCGAGCTATGCGCATGCGCACGACGTCGGCCATTGTTGTCGCAGACACCTGCTCTCGTGTGATAAATCAATCTATGGGCGTATCACGCGTTACCTGCATAGCTGACAGGGCGGCGCATGGGTATGAACAGACCGCGTAAAAATTGCCCAGCTCTCCCTTTGTCAATCTTAGACGGCCCCGCGGGGAGAGAGATTGGCTCGTTATTCGTAACCGCTGATGATTTGCTTTCTTTGTGAACCAGAGGGCTACTAACAGAGCAGATAAGTAATTGCACGGTTAGTCCTAGTTTGTTTTCAATCTCTGCCCGAAATACTGTAACGTTTTGTGAAGAATTGAAACTATTAGTAAGATTTTCAAAGACTCCTATTTTGTCTTGGCTTCCCGATCATTTTGAAATGGCCACCAATCGGGTAAAACCTGAAATGCGTCGCTCAAATGTGTTTTCTTTCTCGATGTATTCATTGTACGAACCAAGCAGGAGCAGTACTATCAGAAAATAACTTGAAGTATGCTTAACTGCTGCGCGTATGTAACTCTGCGGCGTGCTTTTCATGTGAATAAACTTGCATTCGCGAATTAAAAAATTTAAAAAATGCGTAATGGTGTTCCTAGTGTTCATGATTCATTCTCCGTTTATTTATATTAACTATAAAAAAGCGCGACCGCTCTTACACGTCCAAATGTCTCTCCAGAGAGAGGATTTCGATGAGCCGTTACGCATCACACGGGAGAATTTTTGTTCTCTCTCGCTCACGCAAAAATCTTGCGCATCTAGCGGCTTCGATCTGTCAGGATCTTATCGACGACTAGAAAATTATTCCCGGCCAGCAACGTCCATGCGTAATCCCGGCAAATAGACGACATCTTGATCTTTTGGGACAAGGGACGTGGTCTCAAAAATCGTCTTGCATCTAGATCTGTTAATTAAAGCCGCCTAGTACAATCGTTTTTTTTCTACTGCAACGTACTGAACTGCAACGTAATTCCTGTACAGTCATAGTAATTATACCGAAAGTTAGGGACTTGCAAGTTCGTGTTCTTATTCGTATCACTGTACGTTCATTAAATAAATAAACAAATAAATAAACACATATAAACATGTCGCCCGGTTCCGTTTGCCCCAGCCATCACATACAGCATTAGCCAATGCTGTTCGCGCCGACTCCTGATATTATAAGACATTAATCACTGATAGTTATGCCATGATAATTATGTACTCACCCTGTCGTACATGCTGAACACCCTCTGGATGTCGTCCTTGCTCAGGTTGGTCGGGCCCTAAAATAACAGCAGCGGAGAGATGGGGCGTGAACGTGCGGAGATTAAATGCGCGGCAGCTTTCATTCGTCGTGCTACAGCGATGGCGCGTACGCGAGCACTAGATCTCTTGTCACCCTCGCTGATACCTCGGTCTGACAACCACGCAGTTTTCACCGTTTTTTAACGAGTTTTTTTGTTCGAGTCGGGAGCTATCTACACGATAACTCGATTGGGGTTTGAAAACAGGTGATTTTGCGTCCATTTAGGGTGTAACTTCGATGGGTTACTCGTTATGGGTTGTCAAGACCGTGTTAACCCGTAACGAGGTTTTTGTTGTTCCTCGTAAAATGCGATCGATTTCGGAAATTCGACGACTTTAGGCGAAATTCGAAATTTACGCGAATTTTCACTTCCGCGGTAGAAATAATGACAGGTTTTGGTCATTATGTAAACAAGCGTGACGTGAGACGCCCAATCATTTCTAATGTGACAGAAACGTTCGTGTTTTCACGTTCATATTCCGTCTTTCACAATTTACATGGGTAATTTACGCGTATAAATAAATCAGCAAATAAATTTATTATTTTATGCAAGTTTTGCCGCCGTTAGCTTGATACGTTGACGCGCGACTGTGTTGTAGTGTAATGTAGAGCGCTGCGTCAATCCATTAGTGTCTAGACGTGCGATCGACGCTTACCTTGAAAACCTGTCTGCTGAGGAAATTCTCCTTAACGGGAAGGAGTCTGAAATAAAGAAAGAAAAGATTTGGCAATGGCGGTTCTCATTGTGCTTCACCTGATTGCTGCGCCTTGCTCCGTTGCCACGGCAACCGATAAACGGACAGGTGAGCGCAGAAAGAAACGCGAAATTTATGAAGTGAATTCCGCTTACCAATCGTCTTCACTTGGTAACAATGTCATAATTAACAGTGCACATTAAAACGTGCTAATTAAAGATGCTGTTACCGCTTATTACTAAAACCCCGACTTTATTCTAACGTACATCACGATTATAAGTATGCACGACTACCGTTGCATGTAAGATGCCGCACGGCGCATGCGCGCTGTCGTGGCCCACGTGATATCCGAAGACCGTACACGATTTCACACGGTCTATAATGACACTCTCCGACACCGCATCCATCAGGCGGGCATAATTACGGAGATATATGTCCGCGCCACGTGTCAACCCCGGCTAATATCAGCTTCCCCACACGCTGCGCCGCCGACCCCAGAGTAACTAGAAGCCACGGACTTAGTGACGGAGCCAGTGTTAGTTATAGGGAGCGTCTGATATACGGTCGGCGAAGCACAATCGTAATTACGCCGGATTTACACAATGTCCGGCCCACACTACCTTCCCTCCGCGGTGATGCGCATGTGTACTGTTATTCTACTAGCGTCAGACATTTCTCATTCTAATAGCTTCACGTCGTTACAATTCCACTAACTCCGCCCACCTGTTATTCTACCATCCACGCTCTTTGTTGTTCTGCTAACTACATGCAAATTGGTTATTCTTACGGCCTCGTGTTTTTTTCTTTTTGATGCGCACTCTTTGTTATTCTTTTATCTATATACGTGTCTTTGTTGATAGTCGTACCCTTTGAAACACACACACACACACACATGCTCAAACCGCACAAACATGTACGCTCGCACGCACACCTACACACACACACGCACACACGCACGCACGTACACACGTACACACACACGCACACACACACACACCACACACGAACCACACACACACACCACACCAACACACAACACAACACACACACACACACACACATACAGATGCTGTTACTCCGCCACTATGTATTCGATTGCATAGCAAGGACTGTGCGCGCTCTGACGACAGGAATTGGCCAACGATTGTGTGTTGTCGCTGTGTTGTTGCATCTGTCATTGTCGTCATCGTCGTCGTCGTCGTCGTCGGCCGCTTGTCGGGTTGTTGTTGTCGGGGTCGTAGTTGTTGCTGATGTTGCTGATGTTGCTTGCTTGTGAATCGTCGCTGGCATCATCGTCATTGTCATTACTGTCGCATCATTGTGGTCGCCGTCAGTCGTCGACATCATCATCACCGTCGTCGTCGTTATTGTCGTCGGTATCGTCGTCGTCGTTTCGTCGCGGCAGCAGCGTGGTCGTTATCGTCGTCTTCGTTGTCGTTTTTGGCGGCGGTAGCGTGTCGTCATCGTCGTCGTCGATGTCAGACGCGACGCCGACGTCGCACCAAAACAGGGACGAGGATGAGGGGTAGCCGATGGAAGTTTCATCACTAGTCTTAGCTCGCCTCGTGGCGACAGAACCGCGGCTGATCCTCCGCAAGTACACGACTTACTGCCTGCGAGGCGATAGTTCTGCTTACTCGTGCATGCATGCGTGCTTAGCTGCGTGGGTGCGTGGTGTGCGTGCATGTGTGCGTGCGTGCGTCGTGTGCGTGCGTGTATGCGTGTTTGCGTGTGTGTGCGTGCATGTGTGCGTGCGTGCGCTGTGTGTGTGTGTGTGCTGTGTGTGTGTGTTGTGTGTGTGTGTGTGTGTGTGTGTGTGTGTGTGTGTGCGTGTGTGCGTGTGTGTGCGTGTGTGCGTGCGTGTATGCATGTGTGCGCGCGCGTGTGCGAGCGTGCATGTGTGAGGGCGGTGGTGTGGGATGAAGCAGCTTTCACCACTGATCAGTGGCTCTTCCGCCGCGCGTATATGCATAAGCCGCATTTGTTCGTTGTCGACAGACGGATAATATAATCAATGTTTCGCGCGCGTGCGGTCGACGCGTATTTCTACGGAAGCTGACTGCGAGTGTCACTACTGTCATCTGTTGCCGACGAGGACAGCATGGCAAGACGACACACTGACGCCAGATTGTCACACGGAAATTGTGCATCATTCCCATGTCGAGGTAAAATGAATACGATCGTGAAATTATCCCGATTTAGGGGATCCGACCGTAGCGTTTGTTAGTGTTTCCGTGTATTGCCGTGGAATTCAATGGGTCTTATCGCGGTATACTCTCGGACGCGTTGCCAGTAAGATCATAAATAGTTGTAAAAAAAATTATAGAGATTAGTTCAGAAGTCTAAAATCTCATTGGACGACACTTCACATCTCAATTATCAACAATTATGAATTTTTAAATAAATGATGTCATAACATGATCATGACTTTTATATCAGTTATTTATGTGTTATTCGTTATATGAGTTGAGCGTGTGTGGTTATATTGTGAGAGGTGGTGAACGGGACCTGCATTAAAGCCATGCGACCGTGACATATGCCTTTATGTTTCTGTGTGACGCCATCCATGGCTTTATTCGCATTCCCATAGATCCCTTAGCAACCATGACGTCAACCATGACGCGAACATCGAGTGATCCCAACCGTCGATACAATTGCACTTGATCGGCGACGATTTTAAGATTTGATGAAGTAGAAACTCGGTAACGTCCGTCAGGTATTACGCACCGATTCATCATTGATCAAAACGTCTGATTGAGTGGCAATGATTTCCGAGGTCAGATTGTTGGTTAATAAATTACCAGATTACCAATAGAATCCACACACTGTACGTGCACACGCTACGTGTAAAACGAGAGGGCTGGCACCACAGGCACTTGAAGCGTTTCAACTGTAAACACACGCCGCCGTCATTGCGCGCACACTGACACATAAATATATAGTGTGTTTATTATATATATTTATGTTATATATATTTATGTGTCAGTGTGCGCGCAATGGCGGCGGCGTGTGTTTACAGTTGAAACGCTTCAAGTGCCTGTGGCTGGCACGTACAAACGCGCGCGTACGTCGCATATTGTACATCCACCGCTTTGTAGAAGGCGCTAACAGCGGCTGACGTGTTGTGTTAGCGCGAGTGCACACGCCATGTCAAACCAGTCAGTGCCATCACGCAAAGCGCTCGCGGTCAGATATCGCGGAAGGGCTTGCGAAAGTGGCGAGAGTGGGCAAACCGCAGGAGCAGAAGCGGCAGGGAAAGAGGAGGGCGAAGAAGGAAATGAGAAGGAAAGGGGTAGAAAAGGAAAAGGAGAAACAAATAGTAGAAATGTGAAGAAGGACGAACAACTGACGAACGGGGAGGGGAAAGCAGAAAACGAAAAAGAAAAAAGAGTATAAAGAATACGAAATGAAAATATAAAAGGAGACGAAGATAAAGATTAGGAAGAAAGAAAGAGAAGAAAAAGAAGAAAACAAATAAGAAGAGCAACAACAAGCAATAATAACAACAATAATAATAACAACAACAACAACAACAACAGCAATTGCATCAGAAACAATAGCAGCAGCAGCAGCAGCAACAACAACAACAACAACAACAACAACAGCAGCAACAGCAGCAGCAGCAGCAACAACAACAACAACAACAACAACAACAACAACATAATCATCAACAACAACAACAATTATCGACAGCACAGAAAAAGAAGCAGGGGAAGAACGAAACGATACAGAAAGAGAAGACGAGGAAGGCACGACGACGACGACGACGACGAAGAAGAAAAATCGAGGCGGAAAAGAGAAGGAGAATGCACACACACCGACGACACCCCCAAAAACTTAATCGTATTAAGTAATGGCGCTGCTATTTGAGCAAGGCTTAATCCTCGACCGATTTACGTTTGCACAGCCACTCGGCAGTCTCATATCGACTCTTCGCAATCAGCAGCGTCAACACCTCTTCCTCCTCGCCATCATATTGTGCGCGAGAAAGCCACATGCGCCGTAAGCAGCCTATTATTTGCTTCCACGCGCAATCGCTCTTGACAGCTGCTGCACCTGCAATGCCGCGAGCTTATCACTCATACGCTATGGTTTCACAGCTTCTTCCCCCCCCCTCTCTTTCTCTCTTTCCCTCCCCCCTCTCTCTCTCTCTAATAAATAAATATATAATATATATATATATATATATATACTTCTCCGTATGAATCATGTATTGTCTAGATTCATAATGAGCGTTCCACGACCCACGCTGGCGGTGACAGTACCATAACAGCGTTGCGAGGCAGCCTTTCAGTGCGCATGCGTGACGTGGGAAAACGTTTCACGTGATGCGCTACGTGACTCTTGCATGTGACAGTATTGCAGTGTCGCATTGCAGGAGGTGACTACGTGACTCTTGCATGTGACAGTATTGCAGTGTCGTATTGCAGGAGGTGACTAACGTGACGCTTGCATGTTTACAGCTATTGCAGTGTCGTAATTGCAGGAGGTGACTAAAAAACGTGACTTTTGCATTGCTGACAGTCATTCCAGTAGTAGATTGCCAGGAGGGTGAGTTAACGCCGGCACGTCGCCGCTGTTCAATGTCTCAGCCAGCTGACGCGACGACATGCAGCGTTAACACCTCCTCCACCTCCCAGCCCCCCCACCACTACCACCGACCACACCATCACCATACACCATCTCACACTCCTACACCACCCACCACACACTATTCACCACACCACCACCACCACCACCACACCACCATCACATCCCATCACCACACCCACACCATCACCATCACCATCACCATCACCATCACCATCACCATCACCATCACCATCACATCACACACCATCACCATCACCATCAGCCCTATCACCATCACATACCATCACCATCAACCGCACATCACCCATCACCATCACATCACCCATCACCAGCGACACATCACATCCACCATCACCACCCTACCCCACCACCACCACCACCATCATTCACACCACCACCACACCACACACCCATCACCACCACACCGCCACCACACCACCACCACCACACACCACACTCACCACCAGCACCACCACCACACCACACCACCAACCACACCACACCGACCACCACACCACCACCATCCCACAACACGCGCCACCACCACCACACCACCACCACCACACCACCACCACCACACCACCACACAACGACGCCTCCACCCACCACCCCACCACACCACAACACCACCACCCACACACACACCACCCACAACACCACCACCACCACCATCATCATGCATCATCATCTCACCATCCCATCATTCATCACCACACGGACACCACATCACCCACCACCCCATTCATTATTATCCATCATCATCATCATCATCATCAGTCAATTCATCACCATCAATTATCAGCCACCACACACCCCCACGCTGCGGGCCTCGGCGGCTTCAGGGGGTTCCATCAATATTTTATAAGAGCGCAATCATTCGCGCGGACGGCTCACCGGCACGAATATGTCTCCGCAAGTGCACAAATTATACAACACACTGTACAACATAACGCGCTAAGTACATTGTATGGTTCGCGGCCGTTCTCCGGGGCACGTTTTCCAGCGGTTAAAATCGGTTTGTCCATCTCTTCCCCTTCCCCCTCTCCGCCTTCCTCTCCGCTTCCCCTCGGCCGCGGGACCATACATGTCGGACTGATCGATCGGCACGATGGCATACGATGTGCTGTGTAAAAATGATCACGCGAGATCAGAATTTGGGTGCGGCGCCGAATGTGCAGGATCGAGCGGGACAGACGGGGGGCATGTGTCAGTGATAGTTTATTCTTACTGTATCCGTCTGTATGCTTAATTCTCACATTATAGTGCTAGAACGGCGTGAAAACCGTAGCTAAATAAGGTTACGAGTAAAATCCGACATTGACGTTGTGTAAAGTCGTGCATTTACCGCAAGGGGACATTCGTAAGTTCGACAGTCGCCATATTTGGCGTCAGCTGTAACTTAGACCGAATATTCTAGGTTAATCAGAGCGCATGTATTATCACCTAACATGCAATTGAGCTGACATGGCCGGTGGGCGTGTGTGTGGTTGTGTTGTGTGTGTGTCGTGTGTGTTGGTGTGTGCTGTGGTGCGTGTGTGCGTGTGGCGTGGTGTGTGTTGTGTGGTGGTTGTGTGTGTGCGCGTGTGCGTGTGTGATGTACGTGCGTGTGCGTGTGCCGTGTGGCGTGTGCGTGTGCGTGTGCGTGTGCGTGGGCGTGTGGCTGGGCGTGTGCGTGTGCGTGTTGGCTGTGCGTGCTGCGTTGGGCGGCTAGCGCGGCGCGTGGGTGTGGCTGTGTGTGTGTGCATGTGTGTGTGCGCGCGCGCATGCGTGGCATGTGTGTGTGTGTGTGCATGTGTGTGTGGCCGCGCGCCGCATGCGCGTGCATGGGGTGTGTCGTGCCGCGCGGAATGCGTGTGCATGTGTGTGTGTGTCGTGTGTGGTGCTGGTGTGTGTGTATGTGTGTTGCATGTGTGTGGGCGCGCCGCGCATGCGTGTGCAATGTGTGCTTGTGTGTTGTGTGTGTGTGTGTGTGTTGTGTGGTGTGTGTGTGGTGGTGCTGTGTTGTGTGTGCGCGCGCGCGTGTGTGTGTCTCACATGGCGTTTAGATGCTGTACGTCTGCGCGTTCAGCATCGAGGTTCTCTGTATTAATCATGGATAAACTCGCCGGCGTTTCCGATGAGAAAAAGCGTCAATCCATCCAGCGTACGCAATGCGTTAGAGCTCATCGAACTCTCCCTGCACTATACACTCACCACACAGAAACACGCGTGCTGTTTCATTCACGGGACCGCATAAACCTTACAGGGGCTACCATGCGTAGCAAGACCGTCGCCGCACACTTCTGCAGGGCTTATACGTTCCCGAGCAAATG